CTTACGTAGGGCCCTATCCTTGGTTCTTGGTGTGACGTGGAATATCTCCCTTTGCTAACCTAATGCTTGTTCTTTAGACCAAGTGCCCCACCTCACTGAGATGGCCCTAAAAGGAAGTGAGTAGGCCTCATCATGCCACCATTCCTGGGTTTACTGAGGGAAGACATCAGTGGTGGGGCTCCGTGTGGCCCCTTCTGTTCTGGTTGGGGTCCACTTATCTTCCTTTAGAGTGACCAGCTTGACTCCAATGAGGAAGTAGGTTTCCACCTTCTACTGAGTAAGGCTGCTCCCATTAGACAAAGGCTCTCTCCTCCATGAGTCCACGTCCCATGGAAACAGGGACACCTCAGCTGGAGAGCTTTGCCCTGGGCCTCCTAGGTCTGACAGCAAGGGTGGGAGTCTGGGCATTCTCCTGGATCCTGGGGTGAGTGGTCTCCTAGCTCCTCATCCTTCACCTTGACTCATGACTAAACGTGGGGCTCTACCTTCCACTCACCTGAAAAGGCCATACTCCTCAGACTAAGGCCATTACCTGCTTAGAAGCTCTAAATTGGAAGAATGAATCCTGTCTGCCCAGGGCTGTTAGGATCTTCTGAAAGGTGATAGTAGCGGCAGAATTTTATGACACCCCAGTCTTCTGGAGTTAGTAGCCCCTTAGTCTTTGCTCAGGTTTTTGACCTTGACTATGCGTAGCCTAAGTCTGCCAGCCTTTCACCAAGGTTGTCATCTTTCTGAGACACTAGAGGGGGAAGTCAGCCTGCTTTTCCATGGCTTACCCTGCCTGCGGCCTCAGTATGGCCCTTTCTGTTATGGGGGTCCATTCATCAGCACTCATTGTCCTCACCTTAAATTCAATTAAGGCCTATGAGACTCTCTTATCATTGATTTTATTTCTTCACACTACTCATTTACTTAGCATTACTATTATTGTGGCTGTGTATTCCAAAACACTACTTTGGGTCAGGGTTTTGTTATCCATGAGATATATTTTGGAGTAAGAGGAAGAAAAACAAAATAAAAGAAGGTTTGGCTTAGACTGGGAGGAGAGGCAGAGCATGGGTCTCTAGACTGATCGGGACCAATCCAGACCAGGGATCCAGTCCCAGCGAGGTCACTTACCACTCCTTTGAACTTGAGATACTTACAAGTCATTTTATCTGTAAATGAAGTTTGCTAAGCTCTATCTTATAGGAATGTTGGCATTTCTGTACTATATAAAGCACTAGGCATACTCTTTAAGAAATACTGGGTCTGAATGAATGGCAGTTGTTATTATCAATCCCCAAAATACCACCCTCCCATCTAAGTTTATTTTTAATACTGTAGATAGCAGAGAATGTTTAGTGCACAAGGACAAAAACAAACATTCTTAAGCTAACTAATTAAAGTATCTTATTTTTCACTAAGACTAAAAGGAAGAGGCAAACCATGAATTAAAACACATTTTATTTTTGTTTAAAACACATTTTAACAATTTTTTTCTCTATTTTGTGTTCCTAAGTATTTTACTGTGTTGTTCTTTCACATTTTCATGAAATGCCTATTTGCAATGCCATGTTATCTGCTTTTGGATCGTAAATATAGTATAGATGGTTTGTGACTTTCTTTTTCATATACCAAACCTATAACTCTCCCTTGTGAGACAGCAATAAATGAGATCCATGCCATTCTTAAGTTTATATTCTAGAGCTAAATGACCTATTACAAGAAAAAAACATTTGAGAACACCTAAATAAGTATAACTATATATGTTTGTAGAAGCTAACAGTTTAGAACAAACAGGAGGAACATCTATGCTTTTTTTCCCTCCGATCCCTAGGGCTCTGCACTACTGGGAAGGTGCCCTCTTCCACCCCGGGGAAAAGCAGCCGCCCAGACTGCCTGACTAGACGCGGCGCCTGCTACGGGCCCCCTTCGCGGCAGACCCCCTGGCCTGGGGTCTGGCCCCCACGCGCTCCTCCTCGTCTAGCAGAGCCTCCTCGTACAGCTGGGGGTAAGAGCTGGGCACCGTGTCGTTGATCTTGGCCAGGACCTGCAGCACCTGCATCTTGCTGGTCTCCGCGCGGGCCTTCGGGCCCCACAGGAACTCGTGGCGCAGAGGGTCGCTGGCGGGCACCGGGCGGTACTCCAGGTAGCCCTGGCGCACCAGGTCTCGGGTGATGAGCTTGCGCGGCTCACCGAAGACCAGGTGCCTCTTGCCCTCCTGCACGCCCAGCACGTTGAGGAACTCCCAGACCTCCTCCTCGCTGGCGCGGTTGCCCTTCATGAAGATCACGCCCAGGAGCGCCATCAGGAGGCCGGACTTGGGCAGCCCCTTGCTGCCGCCGCCCAGGGTGCCCTCGCCGGGTTGGGCCAGCTTGCTGACCAGCGTGTAGGACTGGCCGCGGTCGTCGGCCTCCCGGACCTCCAGCCCGAAGACCAGCTCCATGCGCTGGGAGGTGAGCCTGAAGATCTCGGGGAAGTGCTCGCGGTACTTCCTGCCGATGATCTTCAGCAGCGCCACGCGCATCAGGGGCTCCCCGGAGCTGTGCTTCTCCAGCAGGAACTGCACCAGCATGCTGGCCTTGCGGATCAGGGGCGTTTTGCGAATGGCCAGAGGGGCGGCCGGGGCAGCAGCCGCGGCCGGGTTCTCGGCGCCCTGGTCGCCTGGCAGGCCTGGGGACCCTGCGCCAGGAGACCCTGCGCCAGGAGACCCAGGGGCGGGGCCACCTTCGGGTGGTGAAGATGGACCCGCCTCCTCCGGGGAGCCCGGAGGAGCGCGGGGGGGGCTCCTCTGCTGTTGCTGCTGCTGCTACAGCAGCAGGAGCACCCCCGACACCCTGAGCCCCACCGCAGCGTTTCTCCCGGGCACGGGCCTTGTTCTTCTGGCGCCGAGGCATGGTGACACTGGGCAGGGCTGGCAGGCAGCGAAGGCACCTGGAGAGGGGGGACAGTGAGGTGAGGGGAGTCCCTTCAGTGGAGAGATCCCACCTTGGCTTTGCCCACGGCCGCCCCTGCAGGGTCCCTCAGGGCACTGCTCTAGGACCGCACAGGGCTCCCATTACCCTGGTCAGCCTGGGCCCTGAGGAGGAAGGTGGTGTGAGCCTTGGGCCCCAGCCAGCCAGCCCTGCCGGGGTGTTACCAGGGTGACGGCAGTGTTCCTGACAGTGAAGACCCCAGTGTCCATGTAGGGTGGACACTTCGCCTGTTAAGTGTTGGGAAGACCTGGGCCCCCACCCCCCTCCCCTGCTCTGAAGGCGACCCTGGGATCTTCCATGGTACCCTCAAGGAGGGAAGGAGGGAGCCTTCAGCCCACCGCTGAAGTCAGGGGCACCTAGTGCTGACCACTGATGGGAGGGCTTCTCTGCCCTGAGTCCGTGGGGTCCTCGGAATGACGCAGAACCCCCACTCGGACTCCGTGTAGGACCTGGGACCCTCCCTTCCTCTGACCGTAGGCTGCCCCTGCAGATTAAAGCTGAAACCTGCCTGAGACCTGATGGGAGAAATGATGGGATGTCTCAGCCGGACGTCCCTTTCTTGGAATGTTAAGGATCGACAGGAGAGGACAGGCCCTATTGTTCCTGGTTCCCGCAGTCCTCACTCCGGGTCCTCCCTTGCCCCACTTCTGGCCACTCATGGTAATGGCGGCAGGAGCTGGAGACTCATTAGCACCCTGAGTGCCGGCCCGACCTGGAAATCCTCCCTCTGCTGACCGGCAGCCAGCACCTTAGACCAAGGCCCCTACCTCCCTGAGTTTCTGGAGCACAAAGTGAGGCAGCACCTCAGTCTTTAGACCAGCCCAGACCCTCCCAGGCCACGGCCAAGGCCAGGAGCGGAGACTCCACGTGGCCTCTGTTCTGGGGTATGGATTCCCCCCAGTCGTCACAAAGGCCATCTCCTTCCCACCAGTAGGCCTGGGGCTCTCTGCCTGTGCTGAGCTGAGCCAGAGTCTGGCAGTCCCGGGACAAGGCCTGCAATCCCCGAGACCCCGCGAGGTAAGTGAAGGGACCTGGGGCTTAACCGCCATGTTGGGGCCTCCGAGCCCCGAGAGCAGGGGCGGAGCGGGGCAGGGCCTTTTGGACCTCTCTTTCCCGGGGAGTTGGGGCTGGGGTTTGTCAAAGGTGTATCCCCAAAGTTGTAACCCGGGACTCCTGATGCTCGACCCCTAACGGTATGCAGGACCCCTGTCTGGGCTCACCCTAGGCAGGAGCTGTCCGACAACGCCTCAGCGCCCACGGCGTGGTCCGGAGGAAGTTCTCGAGGGCCAGGAGGTTCACTTCCTGTCATGTGGGTCTGTGCCCCGGAGGTGGACCCTGTGTGGTGGGGGCGGGGCTCTGTGGGTGGAGCTCTTTGGGCGGGGCTCTTTGGGCGGGGCTCTTTGGGCGGGGCTCTTTGGGTGGGGCTCTTTGGGCGGGGTTGGGAGTGATGTGGGTAGTGTGTGGTGTGCTGGATTGCAGGGGGCAGTCCCGCAGGATCACAAAGGTTTTTGCTGAGTCTTAGCAGGTCTAGTGAATTCTTCCTCTGCTGTGCTGAGTGTGCTGGCCTGAAACCAAGGGTGTCATTTCATTCCCAACTTCCGGTAAGAAGTATTTGGGTGTCTGAGCTTAGCTGCATGCCCGGCGCTTCCCCAGTCTAACAGTCAGAAGCTGGTAGCTTTTGGGGGGCCTCTGCATTTTGATGAGGACTTCACTCCCTGAATCGTCTCTCAGTGTCTTTCCTTGATCGCTTGTGGGTGCTGTGCAATCTCCGTCTGCTGATTTGAGGTCAACCCCTCATATAAATGCCATCAAGTCCCTGTGATTCCTGATGTGAACTGAAGGTATACTTCTTTGGGCTACTCCTCTCTAAGGCCTTCCAGAGTTGGCTGCAGGAAAATGAGAATCCTCTGGGGTCCAGTGTTCTGGGATAGGGATCTTGAATGGAGTTCTTTACAGTCTTAAGAGTTCTTCCCTTTTGTAAATGCAGCACCGCCCCCCACCCCCACCCCCACCCCAGCATGGTCCTCAAGAACCCTCTGGAGAAACTGAGGTACTTCTAAGCCTGGTCGCTTACCCTAGGGCCTCTCCTGGCTGACATCACTGTCATTTCTGAAAGTTTCGTGGGTAAGTTTCTGCCTTCTGTATAACTGCTATGATACTTGTTATTCTATTTCAATATTTACGTTTTGAACATATAAAAATTTTATATACACACAATGTGATGCCTTCATATGAGCATACACTGTGAAATGATTATCAAAAACTAGTCAACCTATGGCTTTCCATAGTTACCATTTTCATGTGTATTCTAAGAAATCCCATTTTCAACAGCATGCATGAATCAGGGGGACATTATGCTAAGTGAAACTGGCAGACCCAGAAAAACAAATACTATATGATCTCACTTACATGTGGAATCTACAGAGAGAACAAAGATATAAGTCACAGTAACAGAGGAGGATGGTGGTTACCAGAGGCTGGGTGGTGACAGGAGAGGGAGAGATACTCAGGAAAGGGTACAGTCTTTCAGTTATGAGTAAGTTCTGGAAACCTGTACAGCACAGTGACTATAGTTAATAATAATGTGTTATTTACCTGAAATTTGCTAAGAGACTAGATCTCAAGTGTTCTATTTTCATTCATGCCTTAAAATCTACTGAGATGGCTACAAAAAATAAAGGCCCAGTCCTCACCAACAAAAGAAATTTATAGTAGTTATTAGGGCAGTGTCCGGACCCACTGACTCAGACCGCCTCAACCAACCTAAACTTTGGTGCCGTCCTGGTATACCCTAGAGTCCTGGCACATGGGCCCTGAGGAGCTAGCTGCCTTCAGAGAGGTTCCTTCCGTGAAGCACCAGTAATTGAGTATCCCAGGGCAGGGCTGGGAAAATCAAGGCTAAACCTAAACTCTTTCCGCCCGCCAGTGCTGTCTTCTACAGACCTGTCTCAACTTCAGAGTCCACCCCGACACAAGTCCTAGTTCAGTGCACACTTAGTGCCCCTCAGGGCTTTTGCAGTATGACTGTTGTTGATCTTGTTTTGTTTATTCCTTTAGTTTTTCCAAGGGCTGATTCTGGGCACAGGAAACAGCGGCCTGAGATCAGTTTTCATCTTGGAAGCTACAGGTAAGGCTCTAAATCTTTAAATAATTTAAGGGGAATTTATATCTGTATACTATTCTCTTCCCCTGAATAAACATATTTTACAGCTCCATGTGGAACATTTTCTTTCTCTGTCAGTACATTTTTTTAGTTGCCTCCATAAATACCTGCAGTTTTGTGAGGTTTCATTTTTAGGTGCCTTTTAGGTCTGTTGCTGTTGAAAATGGTACGTCATCCCTACGTGTTCTGATTCGGGATTGATTTTGTGTGACCAGGCTTCTGATTTTACTATAGGGATTTTGTATATACTAGCAATTTGACATTCCTTATATATTTGAATATTGTGTTTGCTTATTACTTTAGATATATTAGTTATGAGATTAGTACTATTATTATCTGTTTCTTTATATTATTTATACCTCTTATTTTCTCATTCTTGTGCATGGCTGTGCCCTGCTATGCATTCATGTCCCAGTTAGTGGGACTGTAATTCTGTTTTTGCAAACTTTATTGGGAATGCTTCTAATATTTCACATTTATGTATATTTGCTCATGATTTTACAATATGGAAATTCCATTGAAGAAGTTTACTAAAAGTTATTATCATGAAATGGTGCAGAATTTCTGTCAAAAGTTCTTTCTTTACCCCTGCACGTTGTCAGATGCTTCTCCCCCCCCTTCGTGTAGTGAATTCTGATTCATATTTTCTAACATGATACCATGTTTGCATCCCTTGGACTTACGTCTTTATTGGCCACTGTATTGCATATGCTGTGAAATTGTTTATGTTACTTGTCTCAGTAGGAGTGAGCCCAGGTCAAGTGGTTTTTTTTTCAGGATATCCTTATTTGGTCTTTGTATCAAAGACAGCTAAGGCATTAGAGCAGGTAAGTCATTTCCCTTCTTTTTGTATAGTTTGACAGAGTTTATATAGAAGTTTTATTCGTTTCTCCTTCACCATTTGGTGTAAGGAGACTTCACATTTGGCTGGTCCGGGAACATCTTGAGGGTACCTTGTGTTTTACCTACAGTTTTAGTTTATATGGTTAACGTAAGTTTTCTATTTATGTATGATCTGACTTAACAATTTCTCTTTTGCTGAAAAATAGTCCATTTCTCTTGGATTTTTAAATTTAAAGGCATGCTATTTAAAAGAAAATCACTTTATCACTGAAATTCTCAAACATTCAGAGAACAGAATATTGAACCCCGTGTACCTGGTTCTCAGCATCAACAATACTCAGCAGTAACAGGAAGAAGCTTAATCGGATTGAAGTTTATTTGTTTGTTTAGTGGTAACACTTCTCCAGAGGGCCCGCTGTGCACTTCCATTAGGAAGTACATAATGTCTGCGATCCCTTTGTGGTGATGTTAGCAGTCACTGAGGATCATCACCCTCATCCATTAATCCATCAGGGGCTGCCCAATGGTAATTCTGTCATTCCTTTGTCTCTATTAGCTAAAATAACTCTCTAGGTAGAACCTTTTCCTTATCTACCTTTTGTTATCCTGACATCATGGTAAAAGTATTTAGATTGTTAATTACAACCTGTAAATCTCCTCTACACGCAGACTTGGTAGAATTTTATTTACTATCACTTGTTTCTGCTTCTTTCTTTTGTAACTGGTAAGACCTACAGAAGGTGCTACAGAAATATTTGTAAAGAACTGGCTTTCATTATTTGGCTCTGCTGTCATCTGCGTCATCATTTCTGCATTCATCTTCATTATTCCTGCCTTCTAATTATCTGGATGTAATATGCTGCTGTTTCAATAACTCTTGAATCATTTGGATGCTTTAAATATTTTTCTGGTAAATCTGTTTAGTGCTATCATACCCAAGTAGCATTTGGGCCCTTTCCCACAGCTAACACTGTAGACCTTTATGTATAATACTTTATACTCCTGAAATTTTTTAGTATGCATATATACACACACATATGTGATAGATTGAAGTTTTTCCTAGGAATGAAAGGAGGATTTCACATTAAAAAAAAAATCAATCATAGTGTTTTATGAAATTTACCACTCATTCATGATAAAAAAACATATATTACAAGTAAAGGATACCTACAGAAACCACAAATAAGGACAATCTGTTATATCAATAAAAGTATTTGTAAAAGTTCTTGAGTAAGACATCAGGATAAAAACATACACTTTAATTCTGCTGTAACAAGATGTTTGACCATGAAATTAAGGAACAATAGCTTGTAAAGTACCATAACAAATACTGGCATCTAATATATGTATTTATATATAAAATACATAATAAAAATGAAATATATACAGCTGCTATATCAACAAATTAATGAAAACCTGAATAAAGAGTATTATCCTGTTCATGGAAAGAAGTACTTAATATTATAAACATGTTAATTCTGCCCAAATGTAATCTACAGTGTAGATTAATACCCAGTCTCCCCAAAAGAAACTACATAGCTTTTGTATATGAAGTCTGACAAGCTGATTCTGAGCTTTAAATTTACTTACAAATTACCAAGAATAATCAAAGAGCTCTTAATAAAGAAAAATAGGAGGACTTACTCTATTAGACATTAAGAATCATTTTTTTAGAAACCGTAGTAATTAAAAATGTGTGCTATGTGTCAGTATAAACAAAGAAACCAAAAGAACTGAATAGAGTGTCCCACAACACCCACTTATATGTGAACTTCTGATTATTAAAACTGTCATTGTTGAGAAGTAGAGAAAGAACAGATTTTTTTTTTTTTAAGATAGGACAATGGAGCAACTGGAAATCCAAACTGAAAAAGAATACCACTATAACACTTCCCTCATGCTAGACACAAAATTCAGTTCTAGAAGGGATTAAAAACCTTCCATTATTTATATTATGACAGTTTTCAGTATTACGTCACAGGTGAGAAGAGCAAAAAGATCGTATAGTCTGTCAACTAGAAGGACACCAGTATGGGTCAGGTAAAACATTTGGAGGGAAAGAGATGAAAGAACTTGGGGACATCAGTCACTTGAGTAACAGAAGGACTGGGGATGATGTGAGCTGGAGAGGAAGAGAAGAAATGGCAGCTCATTCAGGCCCCCTGTCCCTTGCTTATCTGGCCTGATTACCATTATGGGCCTTCACTTTCAAAGAGGAGTACTTAATGTACTTAGTGTTAGCTTGGGAGAAAACTCCCTGGGCCGGTGATCCCTCCATCCCATCCTCCCGAGCCCTAGTCCCTGACTGACCTGTTAATCTCTGGACCTTAAGAAAGCATAACCTGGAAACTAGTGTTATAGACAGTAGTAGTAGTAGTGACCAGCTGTGTAGGACTGACTACAGACACACTAAAGAAAACCAAGAATGCGTTTGGTACTTAGAGAAGGTTCCAGCTCTTGCAGATGTGATGGGAGCAGTGTCCCACCTCCTTCTCCAGCAGAATGAGTACTCCTGCTATGGGGTGAGAAAACTGGGAGCCTGGGACTCTCCACCTCCCCCCTCCACCTTTTTTTAATACTTTACCTTTTTTTAAAATTTGAGTTTAGTTGTCACATAATGTCACATTAGATTCAGGTGTACAGCTTAGTGATTTGACAAGTTTATGTATTATGCTATGTTTGCCACAAGTGTGGCTACTATCTGTCCTATTCTATTAATAGTACAGTGTCACTGACTATATTTCTTATGCTGTGCCTTTTTCCCCCATGATTTATTCATTTCACAACTGGAATCCCATAGCTCCCCTTCACCAATTTTGCCCAACCCCCATCCCCTTCCCCTCTGGCAACCATCAGTTTGTTCTCTATATTTATAGGTCTGATTCTGTTTTTCTTTTGTTCTTTTGGGGTTTTGTTTTATTTGGTTGGGGTTTTTTGTTTTGTTTTGTTTGTTTTGTTTTGGTTTGGTTTTGGTTTAGGTTCTACTTAGGAGTGGAATCATATGGTATTTGCTTTCTCAATCTGGCTTATTTCACTAGCGTAATGTCCTCTAGGTCAATCTCTGTTGTCTCAAATGACAGAAGCTTATCCTTTATTATGGCTGAGTAATATCTGTGTGTGTGTGTTTGTGTGTGTGTGTGTGTGTGTGTGTAAAACATTTTCCTTATCCATCTGTCTTTTGATGGACACTTAGGTTACTTCCATATCTTGGCCATTATAAATAATGTAGTTAACATAGGGGTGTGTATATCTTTTGGAATTAGTGTTTTTGTTTACTTTGGGTAAATACCCAATAGAACTATTGGACCCTGTGGTATTTCTGTTTTTAATGTTTTGAGGAATTCCGTGCTGTTTTTCAGAGTTGCTGTACCCATTTACATTCCCACCAACAGCACATAGATGGCTCCTTTTTCTCCACGTCATTGTCAACACTTGTTATTTCTTGTCATTTTGATGATAGCCATTCTAACAGGTGTAAGGTGATAACTTGTTGTGGTTTTGATTTGCGTTTCCCTGATGATTGATGATGTTGAGCATATTTTCATGTATCTGTTGGCCATCTGGATGTCTGCTTTGGCAAAATGTCTGTTTAGGTCTTCTTTGGCCTCTCACCTTTTTTTACACCTGTGGAGTTGTCCCGTAGATTCTACTACTTATCTGGTCTCATGTGGAGACCCACAGTAGGGTTCAGAGTACTTTGGGAGCAAGGAAGACTTCTCTTCTCCTCGTTGTCATCAGGGCTACTCTGAGCGGAGGGAGGTCAGGAAGCAGGGAGTGGCCATGATTCCATAGTGGGCAGATGGCGTTGACTGAATTCACTGTGAGTACCTCCTCCTCCAGCAAGCGAACTACCACTTGTGTCTGGAGGTGTGTGAATGGGGACTCTCCACAGTCTAAATGGTATCTGGAATTCTAGTGAGAAAGACTTAATTCTACCAGTCTGTCCTTCAGTGTGGAAAGAGTCATCCAGAAGTAAGTGCAGAGGATCTGACGTTGAGGAGAAATGGAGGAAAATGGTGCTATTTTGGTTTTTCTCATTGATATGATCAGGGGCAGCTCTCAGCCCAGAACAAGGCCTGCCTTTACCTTGGATCTACATTCTTACTTCCAGGTACCCTCCTTCAACTTTGACAGAGTGAAAGTTTCTCCATACTTACTCAAATGTTTCATGAACCTATTTTTACCTATCATCAGGTAACTATTTTAGGCTTAAAACCTTGGTATACAAGGGATGAAGACTGAAAGAGTTAACATCCAAGTAAATATGGTTAGATCCTTTTGTTTTCATTTTCTTTTTCTTTTCTTTTCTTTTTTTTTTTTTAAGATTTGATTTATTTGCCAGAGAGAGAAAGAGAGAACACAAGCAGGGCGAGTGACAGGCAGAGGGAGAAGCAGACTCCCTATTGAGCAAGGAGCCTCAAGTAGTACTCAATCCTGGAACCCTGAGATCATGACCTGAGCCGACGGCACACGCTTAATCAACCGAGCCACACAGGCGTCCCTTGTCTTCATTTTGTACTGCTGCTGCATAGCAAATCAGCACCAAGTTAGCAGGATAAGCACAACTTTATTATCTCACAGTTTCTAGGGGTAAGATGTCCAGGTAAAAGTCGACTTTGGTCTCTGCTTTAGAGTATTACCTAGCGGCATCTAGGGTGTCACGTGAGCTGTGTGGTCAGCTGAAGGCTAAACTAGAAATAAATCTGAGCTCCTTCACATTGTGCGCAGTGGTGCTCAGAAGCTGATGTGGTCTTGTTGTTCTGGTGGTTGTTGTCGGCTATTGGCTAAAGGCTAGGCTGCAGTTCCACGACATGAGACCCAACCCATACAGGCCCTCTCTACAGGCACTTGACAGCATCACAGGCTTTTTCCTCAGGGTCCCCCACATAGCAAGAGCATTTCTGTTAACAAAATGGAGTGTTATATAATATCGAGAGTTAGGGGAGTCCCATATCCCCTTTAGGGCCTAAGGGCAAATAAAAATTTAAAATAAGAAAAAAGTACAAATATTGAATCATGTACACCTGAAACTAATAAAATACGATATGTCAATTATACCCCAGTAAAAAAAAAAAAAAAAAAAGAAAAGAAAAAATTCAGTTCTTCCTCATGCAGATCAAGAAATGAGACTCCTTGTAGAGCATTTATTTTAACAAACTTGTAAATACTTTCTCTGCCCCTCTGAGATCTTTGTTACTCTTAAGAGCTGATTATGCTTCTTGCCAGTTTGCATCCTAGGAATTTTTTCTGAAGTAACTAGGCATCAGGCTCTTGAAATGTGAACATTAAGTAAAATAGCACCCCTGTCTCCCAGTCTCCATGAAAGTTTCACTTCAGCACCTGTCTCCAAGTTGTAAAAAAACATCTCTTGTCACAAAGAAATGAGAAGTTGTTTTTCTTTTCTCCATTTATTCGAATAAAGGCAATGAACTAACAAAGATGCTCTCCCCCGCCCCAAATTACCAGGCAATTTTTGGATGAACGATGTGTAGTAAATGGTGTTGTCAAGTCCTCTTACTTGAGGAATAGTTAACTATTAGCTTAAGATCATGGATGTAATGGTTTGTATCTATTTGGCTACCATAAAAGCTTTCTCTCTTATTCCTCTTTGGTAATGTGATGGGTGTCACATTCTGGTTCAGTTATTATTAAAAAATAAAACTGTTTTCTCTCTTTTCTATGTTTTGTGGAGAAGCATTTCTGAGTTGGCAGGAGATTCTGTTTCCAGTTAACACCCCAGCAAATTTGGCAATGAGAGTAAGTCTTCTGGAAGTTCCTGAATCGCGTGAGTAAGAGGTTCTGTGGACACACAATAGTCAGGTAAGAGACTTTAACTTATAAAGTCTCCCTTCTGACTCTCCGCTCTTTTGGAATACTTGTCAGAAAAACCAACCTCTCTGAATTCGAGATTTTTCTCTTAATTAAGCATGAGACTATGGGCTCTAAAATCCCATAAGGATCACCATTGGCTTTGATTATAGAAAAATATGGGAAGCTGGAATTATTACCTACAGTTCTTTGTCTTTAATATGTCCTCTCTCTGTCACATTAGGAGTGATATACCTCGAAGAATCTTGTCTTGCAGTGGCCTGAGGACACTTCTTTTAATTTGTATAAATTAATGTATTTGCAGGGGTTCTCAAAAGGGCCTCATCTCAACCAAATGAGTTACTGGAATGTATGGGATTCATATCATTCATATAGGAAAGTTAAATATGACTTGAATAGCCAGAAGGAAAAACCGGAGGGGGGAAAAAAAAAGAAGAGGAAGTAAAGGAATTAAAGGCCCTTTTCTCAGCTATCCCTGCTCTCTGCTTCCCTGCTTCTCTTTATTTTTCCCCACATTAAATCAAGTCCTGGAAGGAAGGAGGCAGTGATCTTCTAGTTGTATTGTTGCCTTCCTTTGTGGATCTCCCTGCACAGAGGAACGAAGTCATAACTTTGTTAACTGCTAATGAATTACCTGCCCTGTTTGAGGACATAGGTTTGGGCAAGTCATGCTCTAGCCTGGGTCCCCTTTATATCTTAGCCAAGATTCGACCTACAAGATTCCCATGTCATCCACACACCCAGTAGCTAGGAAAGAAGTATGATAAACATAATTACAAAATAACAGAATTTGAATAAAAGGTGATGCACTCACTTAAAGGCAACAGGATGAAGAGTAGTTGAACTAGTCACTTGGGACAAAGCAAACAAAAAATGGTGTTAAGCTGCTAAATGTCAGTATGGGTAAGTTAACCGAAAGACCCTAGAACTTATATTTTTCTGACTTCAATATGAGGAAAACCAGCCCTTCCTACTGGGACCACCAGCAATTTTTTTTTTTTCAGGTGGGGCAGCCTCTTTACTGACCAGACATATAGTGGCTGCGAGCAGCGGGGGAGCTGGGCTACAAGCTGAGGTAATAGCCTTCCCTCACCCCAGGCCACCTGTGGACCACACAGCCCCCCCCCCAAGCAGGTGGACCTGGTCTGAGAGGCAGGGCCTGGAGCAATCTGTTTCTTAGGAGGACAGACCAAGTGTCACCCCATTCACTTTGACTCAACCATCCCCCATTCCCCTCTCCTTTAAAATCCTCAGTTTGATTCCCGGAGTCCAGAGTCTCTCATGGTTCGTCTCCCCCTCTGATTCTGCCCCCCTTCATTTTTCCCTTCCTTCTACTAATGTCCTCCATGCTGTTCCTTATGTTCCACAAATAAGTGAAACCATATGGTAATTATCTTTCTGTTTGACTTACTTCACCTAACATAATCTCCTCCAGTTCCAACCATGTTGATGCTGACAGGCATCTCTTAATAAGATTCTGAAACTAGATAATGGCCATGGGTGTCTGTGTCTCACATGTGAGAAAATTATTTGGAGAGATGGAGCAGTTACTAAAGGGCCTAAGCCATCATGCAGATGTTACTCACATGACTAAGGGAAACTCAGGAGAAACACAACTCTTAGTTAAAAATTTAGATTACCAGGCTCTAGAGTTGGGTAATATTTTATAAGGAATTATACAGTAGCACTCAGATAACTTAGGCAATAAAGCATCACAACAATTTGTAAAATTAGTATATGATAGAGAAGTTTTGCATGTTGATAATCAAGAATTTGCTTTAACCGTCCACTATTAGTGTGATATACTTAAAGGTTTTTTCCCCCAAGACAAATAATGTACTGAATTTATCCTACTTTATTTTTGTAATTGCTTTGCCTTATAATTTACTATGGACTTACTGGCTATATAGATGGCTGCAGTTTGCCCAGAGAAAGATAGCAGTGGCAATGGAGAGAATTCGTAAAACCGTACTGTTACTATTTTGTAGTAACAAAGGTAGGGTATCCTAAGGATAAATGAATTAAAAATTAAAAAAATTTTATTCTTCTGGTGCCACTAAATGGCGGGGTGGGGGGGGAGTCTCATCACCCTCACCTTTTTAAATAGCATTTACTTTAAAAAGATGTAAATATAAAACCTTTCTCTTGGAAAAGCTGAAGAAACTTCTCAACAATTTTACGTCCCAGGAATGTTTTCGTTTGGATAAAGCTATCACAGAGGACCACCCCAGTGAGCATGCACAGTTAGGAAGAAATAGGTGTGACAAATGGACACACGACATCCTCTTCCTTGTGGACTAGTTATCTTTCCTCTTGAGAAAATGTACAGAATGTATTGTATCAGCTTGGTGACATAGAAGAGGAAGGTTTCTTTTTGACTTTGCTTTTTCTTCAGTTGCTTGCCTGGAATGTACGTTGTAGTCCAGTTTAGTGCTTACTGAGCAATAAAACTTTGTTCTTTCCTCCGTGATCATGGTGAATACTGTCTAAGCCCCGTGATCCGGGACAGCAGTGAACGTCAGGAAGTCCACCTCCTTTGAATTCCAGGAAACAGCTCACCTCAAAGGTCCATCCTCCGTATGAGTTAGGTAAGACACGTAGCTGCTCGTTTGTTTACCTATGACAGGGCCAGACACAGATTCTCAAAAATCCCATTCTTGGCCTTATAAAATGCTTAACCCAGCTACTTGGTAGCCCAACTTTGGTTAAGCTTCTTTTCCTCCTCCAGGCCCGCCCTCAGCTGAGCCAACACACAACCCCTCTTGAGAACAGACTGGCCTCAGGGCGAAACGTTCTCTGATCTTCTGTCCAATCACACTATCCTTTATCCTGCTTCTACACATACACAGCTTTGTGTATCCTCTCTCCAAATGTAAAACTCCTTTTGCCTCACGGAGGCTTGACATCCATGCAGATCGTAGGGGCACAGATTCTCCCTAATGCAATAGTTCCCTTTCTATCTTTGCAGGTATCCCTTATGAAGGAAGATCTCTCCTTACTAAGTTCGATTTGTTTTTCATTGTACATATATTTTGTGGAGACAAATTTTTGAGTCAGCATGATAGTCTGCTTCTCATTATTTCCCCAACACGTATAATGTAATCAAGCAGCTGACATCTCATCACCTTCTCTGGAATGTATTGGTTAGAAGCAAGTCACAGGCCCTACCTAAACTTAAGGATAGGAGTACACAAAAACGCCATCACCAGGAGGTGGGGATCATAGGAACCCCATGAGATTCTGTCTGCCACTGTCCACCCTCTGGGCCATAGTATCTCATGTTCCTACTTTATGTAAAATTCATTCACCTTCTCCCCAAATCCCAAAATATCTTATCCCACTACAACATCAGCTCAAAATCCAGTTCCCATCATCTAAATCTCTAAGTCTAGCTGCAGATGATGAGGCTCTTGGGAGGAAGTTTATTAAACATACCACTGGGGCAGAATGAGTCTCTATTTGTGGACCTGTGAAGCAAGAAGATAGTTCATCTGTCCTAACACATCCAATGTACAATGGCAGAAGAGGAGTAGGATCATGTCTATAGACACTGTTGTTTAGAAACAGGCACATGCGAAGTATGAAAGTCAGTGGACAGTTGCACTTCTGAAATACCACTGAGCAACTATTGTCAGTTCCTGGAGTAGAATTCAAAGCCCAAGATTAATTCCCCAGGCTCTCACCTCCATCTTGAGGTTCTTGTATCCATTCTCTGAGTCATCCTCATTTTTTATTTTTTTAACTAATCTCTACATCCAACATGGATCATGACCCCAAGATCAAGAGGCACAGACTCTACCAACCGAACCAACCAGATGCCCCTCACCTTTCCTTTCTTTCTTTTATGGAAGATAGCATATATTTGGAGTTAAGAATGTAAAACGTGTACTTTGCAAACCGTCATCAAATGCACAGACACAGGTACTTGTAACACCTACCTTGCCTCTCCCACTGGAAACTTCCTAGGTTATCCAGGATTCATGAGTAACTATGAAGAGCCATCCTGCAGCCTATGCTTTAGTCTCTCCATCTGAGCGTCTCCCACATACCTCACCCTTACCTTACCTCACCTTATCTCACCCACCACATGGCTAAGCTTAAAACTTTCTTTCCACTGAAAAACTGGTTTCCCAAATCTCCAAATGGGCACTTACCTGCTCTCAGCTGGACTTGCAAATCTTCCATCCTTCTTATAGTACCCTGATAGCTCGTAGCTTCCAGCTGCTCCTAGACAAAAAATCCATAGCATCCACAAGAATGTCTTCCATGAGAGCACATGTTCAGCTAATGTTCAGAGAATGAATAAGTGAAACAATGAATGTGTTATCTAATATAAGTTTTATTTTCTCCTGCATTCTTAGATAAGTTTAGCAAATTCACATATGTATCTTAATTTTAGAGAGTGACTGAAAGTATTAGGAAAGCAATGAGTCAACTGTCTTTGAAACACCTACTCAGTGTAGTGATACCCTGTTCCATATCACAAAATAAGAGGGAAGTGTTGCCAAATTTCTTTTGAAACTACATATCTCCTACTCTTAAATGCAACACACAGAAATAAGAGTGCTCTGGTCCAAGAAGGTGATGTAGGAGACGCTGAAGTCCCCTCCTCCATGGAGATACCAAATCTACACCTATTTAAAGAACAATTCCTTCTGAAGCAGAACTAAGTGCTGACTGAACACCTTCTGCGGAATAGAAGACAGGCCATGAAGAGAATGGCAAGAGAGATGAAGAGAAGGTACTCTATTGTTTGTGTGTGGGAAGGGAAGGGATTGTGTGTGTGTCTGTGGTAAAGGGAAGGGACAAGATGAAAGTATAGCATAATGTAGAATCTGGATGTGGAGAAGGGAAGGGATAGTATCATGTTTGCATAGAGAAGGGAAGGGAAGGGAAAACATAATGTTTCTGTGATGGGGAGGGGAAAAGGGAAGAAAAGGGGCAGTGGAGTGTGAATGAGCAGAAAAAGAAGGGAAGGGCTAGTGAAGTATCTTGTGTGTACGTGTGTGGTTAGAAGAATGGAGGGAAGTGAATAAATAGTGTAGTGTGTGTGTTTGGAAAAGGGATAGTGTAGAATGTTTGCACAGAGAAAGAGGGGAGGAATGGAATTGCATATGTTTGTGCAGATGAGGAAATGAAAGAAAAGGGAAAATATAGTGTGTGGGGGGTAACGGAAAGTGCAGGGATAGGGCAGTGTGTGTATATTTGGAAAAGAGATTAAATAGTATAGAGTATGTGTATTGGGAAGAGAAGTGATAGGGTGGTGTGTTTGTAGAGCAGGAAAGCAAAGTAGAGAAGTGAACAGAGTAGTGTAAAAAAGGGATAGTGTGGTATGTTTGCACAGGGAAGGAATAGTGTATTCTGTGTGTGGTTGAGGAAAGGGAAGAAAAGGGAGAATATAGGGTATGTGTAGAGAAGGAAAGGGTAAGGATAGGGTAGTGTGTGTATATAGGGGAAAGGGAGGAAATAGTGTAGAATTTCTGTATACAGAAGAAAATGCACAGGGTTGTAGGTGTTTTTAAAACAAGAAAGCAAAGGAGGGAAATGAATACAGTAGTGTGTGTTCACAGAAGGGATAGTGTAAAATGTTTGCACAAAGAAGGAAGTGGAAGGAATAGTGTATTGTGTGTTTTTGTGGTTGACGAAAGGGAAGCAAAGGGAGAATATAGTGTCTGTGTGGAGAAGGAAATGGTATGGATAGGATAGTATGTGTATATTTGGAGAAGGGAGGAAATACTATAGAATTTGTGTTTAGGGAAGAGAACGGATCGGGTGGTGTGTCTCTGTAGAACAGGGAAGCATAGGAGGGAGTAAGTATACTGTGTGTGTTTGGAGAAGTGATAGTGCAGAATGTTTGTACAGGGAAGAAAAGGGAAGGGATAGTGTATTGTATGTGTTGGCGTGGTTGAGGAGAGGGAAGAACGGAGAGAAAATATTGTGTGTGTGGAGATGGAAAGGGTAGGGACAGTGTCGTGTGTTTATATTCAGAGAGGGAAGACATAGTATAGAATTTGTGTATAAGGAGGAGAATGGCTAGGCTGGTGTGTGTTTGCAGAACAGGGAGCAAAGGAGTCATGTTAAGAGAGTTGTGTGTGTGTTTGCAGATGCAATAGTGTGGCATGTTTGCAGAGAGAAGGAAGGAAGGGGGGAAGGAATAGTGTAGTGTGTTTTGGGTTTGGTTGAGGAAAGTGTAGAAAATGGAGATTATAAGGTATTTGGAGAAGGGAAATGTAGGCATAGGTAGTGTGTGTACATATGGAAAAGGGAGGAAATAGTCTAGAATTTGTGTATTGGGAAGAGAATCGATCAGGTGCTGTGTGTTTGTGGATCAGGGAAACCAAGCAGGGTCATGAATAGTGTAGTAGAGTGTTTGTGAGGATGAGGGAAGGGAAGAAAAGGGAGAAGACAATGCAAGTGTGTGGAAAAGGAAAGGGAAAGGAGAGTGTCGTGTGTGCATATTTGGAGAAGGAAGAAGAGAGGGTAGAATTTGTGTATAAGGAAGAGAATTGGCAGAGTGGTGTGTTTCTATGGGAGGGAAGCAAAGGAGGGACGTGAACAGTGTAGTTGTGTGGTTTAGGAAAGGGAAGAAAAAGGAGAGTACGGTGTTTTTGGAGAAGGAAAATGGAGGCATAGGTAGTGTGGGTACATTTGGAGAAGGGAAGACATTGTGTCAAGGGAAAGAAATGGATTGGGTGGTGTGTGCTTGTATATCAGAGTACCAAGCAGGGTCATGAATAGTGTAGTACAGTGTTTGTGAGGATGAGGAAAGGGAAGAAAATGGAGAAGACAGTGCAAGTGTGTGGAAAAGGAAAGGGAAAGGATAGTGTCGTGTGTGAATATTTGGAGAAGGAAGAAAACAGCAGGATTTCTGTATAGGGAAGAGAATTGACAGGATGGTGTGTTTCTATGAGAGGGAAGCAAAGGAGGGAAGTCAGTAGTGTAGATGTTTGTTTGTGTGGTTGAGGAAGGGGAAGAAAAAGAGAGTA